GTTGATGGACGATTGCAGCTTGAAGACGGCCATCTTGCGCGCGGCATCCTCGTCGCTTGCCAGCCGCGAGAGCAGCGCAGGTATGTCCGCCTGGTCCATAGCAGATGTCTATGTGCTATGTTGTATTAGGAACGTATACAGGGTCGTGTTTTCGTATCTCGACACGCGTCGTCGTCGTCGTCGTCTTGTCGGCGCAAGTCAATTGCAGAGGGACAAGGACACTTGCAGCGTCGCTCAAAAGCGGCCCCTGGGACCAGGCGGTCCTTATTACGTGCCTCGTGTATATATCGTCGTCTTCCGCTCTTGTTGATCACCTCGCTGTCGTCGTCCGCTCAGCTACCGTCGTTGCGTCGTCGTTCTTGTTCGTAGTGTGCATGTGTGTATTTTTTATTCATACGGAGTACTTGCCTCGCCGCGTCGACTGAAGCAAAAGTCAGGGGTAGCATTGCCGAATGGAAGGTGGTGCACGGACCTGCCCCAAGCCAAATGATCCAGTCGGGAAGGCGCTAGCCAATCATGGCTTGAGGGGCTTTGTTGACCCACGCTGTCGATACGAATTACGAATGGAAGGGCATTTTGGGTCGCAGTTGCTGCAACGGTGTAAGTGTCTTGGTCGCAGCTACTGTTTTGGGAATCAAACGTCAACAGGCAGGTGCACGCAAAAATACGGGGCAATGATTGGGAAACATCCCAGTGAAGCAATTTGGCCGCTTGTTTTCTCTCCTGACATCAACAAAGACGATATTCTGCAGAAGCGCTCACCCCACAAGCGTCGACCCTGCACAATTCGTTAGGAACAGGTGAGCACGCGCCTGGTGTAACGATGATACAGGAAGCATAAATGGAATGTTGCCCTTCGCCCCGATGCTGAGTCCTGTGGCTCTTATCATTCAATTCAAACTAACTGTGAAAAGACAGGCCGAAAGCATCCTTTTACGCAGTCACTTTCGGAGCGCGACAACGATCGGTGGACTGTTTGGTCCCCTTGCTTTTTCCATGTTGCGTCCTACCCATATGCCTCGCACGGTCGAACCAATGTGCTGTGGCCAGGTGCGGCCCAGTGGCATTGGCCTGGAAGAGACTCTGATTAACAAAGGCGAGCGGTCTCCCGATAAGGACGATCGTTGCCCACCAAGTAATAAGTACAGGCGGGGCTCAGAGGGGGACGAGAAACCGCAACATCACACAACTGCGCCTACGATGTAGTGGCGAATAGTGCACTGGACAATAAGCCGGCGTCCGTTTCCACCGCGCCCTAAACCTTAACGAAACCAAGGAGGGGATGCGGAATTTCCGAGAGAGTGGATATTTCGACGCAAAATAACATTCGATCAACGTCAGACGCAGTCACCAGTTCGTCGGCCTTTTGCATTCTCGATTCTCGCCCGCACTTTGGCTTCCGAGATCGAAAGACTGTCAGAAACAACGCGACCCCTCAAGTCAAAGTCGGTGGCACTGCGGCGTCATTCAGCAGCACGTCCCACGTCCCACGTCCAACGTTGGGGCATATAAGACCGTCAGGAGCCGCAGTGAACCACACCGGACGCCGTTTTGCTCCACTTCACACCTTGACCTGGCCGTTGTAAAAGTTTGAGTCATTCAGACTTTGCATTCTACTTCATTTCGTCGCCTCACCCACGCCACAACCAGACACCATGGCGAACATTGCTGTCCACTCCACTGCGGACATCGCGCAGGTCGAGTCCACGTGCCGCGAGCTTGGCATCACGGTCGAAGAGTTCCGCGAGCTGCATCGTTACAGCGTATCGGCTGCTGAAGGCGCCTATTGCCCGTACAGCAACTTCCCCGTCGGGGCCGCTGTCATGACAAAGTACGGCGTCCAGGGCCCAGATGCCGCTGAAGGTCTACCCGGCTCAGGCGGCAATGGCCACAGTCGGTTTATTCTCGGCGCCAATGTCGAGAACGTTTCGTACCCCGTAGGAACGTGCGCGGAGCGTGTGGCTCTGGGCCGAGCCGTGTTCGAAGGCCACCGCGACTTCAAGGCGATTGCAGTGATGGCACCAGCCGCAGCCGCCGGTATGCCGTGCTCGCCATGCGGCATGTGCCGACAGTTGTGAGTCCTCCGGATCTGACATCACACGATGCAACAGGAGGGTAAAGACACCTGAGGTATCTAACACAACAGCATCCGTGAATTCTGCGGTCTAGATCTGCCAGTACTCATGTTCGCCAAGGACGGCCAGTACATTGGCATCAAGCTGGAGACGGTATGCGGCCCAATCAGTCACGCGTGTGCAATACAAGTGCCATCTTACTAACCTCGTGCAGCTGCTTCCCTTGTCGTTTGGCCCCGACGCGCTTGGTCCTCGGTAAGCGAGGCATGTCTCTGTCAACTTGGGTGTTATGCTGCTCCAAGTGAGGTCTGTCTGATTTTCAACGAGGACAATTACTGGCCTCGGTCTTTTCTCATTTCTATTCGTCTGCACGCCCAGCCAGTCAACTACTACCGCTACATACCAGCCGTCGGTGCCGTCTCTTCATTTTGGATCAATATCAAGAATGCCATAACCACGGACTGCACAAAGACTTTATCACCCAGAGTACCCGGATGCAGATTTCACACAAGTACGAATACGCGATATGTAAGGTAATATGCCTGCCGTGTTTGCAGAGAAAGCACACCGGGGTCTGGGCCTGGGTCACTTTTTTGTTTCATTTTGTCGTGTCATTTCGATACACGAGAGAGAAGAAGGAGATTGTATACTCGTTCACTCTTTTTTGAAAATAAAAGTTTTTGCTTTACTTTTGCTTTTCTTTTTTGGTTATGTTTGTTTTATTTTTTTGGGTCATTATTATGTGCTCGTTGCTTGGCGAGAGCGGAGGAGTCTACTCTGCTTGTTGCCCTGTTTTGGCAACAGTGTTCTTACACCCTTTTCCCTTCCGACCGACTCCCGCTCACGCAAAACAACGCTGTGTCTCTATTCAAAGCGCAAGAGCCACAGATTGCCTCACAACCTTCAGCCTCGGCATCCGCCTTCGCTCCTTGTCGACACGCCTAGAACGCCGGCTTGGCGTTCTTGAGCAGCATCTCGAAGTAGGCCTGGTTCCAGGTACCGGCCTCGGGGGACGGCTTGTAGGCATCGTCCTTGCCGCAGAAGGAGTCGTAGCGAGTGGCGCTGCTGTCGCTGGTGCCGTCAGACTCGCCGCCGGGCTTGATCCACACGAACGCATCGGCCAGCTCGTCACCCGTGTCGGCGGTGGGGCGGACACCGAAGCCGGCGCCGTTGACGTTGCACCAGTCACCCCACTCCTTGCGCAGACCAGTGACGGCGTTGCGGCCAGTATCGATGATGGCATGGTTGGGCATGCCGGCAGACTTGAGCAGCGGGGCAAAGGTGTCGACGTAGGTCTTCTCGTTCTGGCACTTGTTGTACTTGGCGTCCGAGGCGGTCGAGAACTCGCCGGGGCTCTGGTCCCAGGCGTTCCAGCCGGCCGTGTTGGTGGAGAAACCACGGACCTGCTTGGGGCTGCCGGCGGCCTTGTAGACCTTGGCAAGGCCCTGGGCACCGGGCTTCAGGTTGGCATCCCAGCCGAGCCAGCCGCCGTGACCAGCGTCAATGTACATGACGACGTTGGGCAGATTGAGGCTCTTGAGGGCGTAGGCGACGCCGGTCTCGTAACCGTCGGCGCTGCTCTTGCAGGTGTCCAGGTCCGAGTTCGTGACCAGGTTGGGCAGCGAGTCAGGCTCGATGAGCAGGGCAAAAGCGGTGTTGGGGTGCGCCTTGAGGATCTTGACGATAGCTGCGAGGGAATGTCAGCAGGGACGACGACGACGATGACGACGACGACGACGATGAAAATGAAATCGGAATTGAAACGAATTCGAAAACGACAGAAGCCAAGCAAAGGGGGCCGCCAAAGAGAGTGCTTACGGTCAATGTAGTCGGACTTGTACTTGTCGACCTCGCCGACCTTGAGTTCACCGTTGGAGGCCTTGGCGGCGCAATCACGGCCCGGCAGGTCGTAGATGACCAGACCCAGGATGTGGTCGCAAGGCACATCGGCAATGGCGGGCTCGACCTTGGCGATGTTCGCAATGGAGTCACTGGTTCGGGTTAGCGGGTGCTCGCAATTACGACACTCACAACCACCGCAGACTGGTCGGTGTGCGACACAACGAATCCTCAATCCTCGACAAACCCAACTTACATCCACAGGAAGCTACCGACGTCGGCAACCTTGGCGGCCGAGGCGGCCAGGCTGGTGTCGGTGATGGCGGCGACGGCAGCCTCGACCTCCTTGCGGTAGAAAGTGTTGGCGTGCAGCGTGTACTTCTTGAAGGGGTTGGTGCTGGCGTCCAGGGTCACGGCAGACGCGCAGCCGGCCGAAGCCTGGCGAGCGACTTCCTTGACAGACTGGGTCGGGGGAGCGGCGTATGCCGACGCGGCGAGCGCCAGCAGGGCAGAGTACTGGAACTTCATGTTGACAAAATTGAAGACGATCTTCCTTTGGGGGGTGCTGGAGAGAAAGAATCAAGAGAAGATACTGGCACGGGGAGTCAACTGGCTGAGTTGATCGAGGTGTGAGGAACAAAAGGGAAAGGGACAAAAGGATGAAAGAAACAGGACGCTAGAGAGTGGCCGGGGCTCGAAGTCTTTATACAGGACGAGATGGCCCATGTCTATGCGTGGGAGAGGAGGAGGAGGGAAGGGGGGCAGCCACAACGACCAAGGATAGAGTGTGCCCCGTGGGGACGAGAAGGGACAGACGACCGACTGTTTCTCGGCGAGATTGAACCAGACAGCCCGCCTATTGCTCGAAAGTGGACGGACCATTCTGGATGCGCGGGTCCCGTTTTTCCCGTCACGTCTCGCTCTCGGTCCCTTTCAACCAGCAATCAGGAAGCGAGGCCCGCGCTGTGAGAGCTACCAAATCTGCTCACAGGGGGGGCACGCAGACGTACTCGGCCGTGGGCTTCCGAAGACACGCTCTGCTCTCGGTCGATGCGGCAACGTACATTGGGAGGCATATAGGCATATATGGCGGGATGCACGGCCAAAGAGGAGACCAAGACGGACGAGAGCAATCTAAGTCGACGGCGACGGGATGGTAGGGTGAGCATATTGGCCAAAATGCGGGGCGTCGATGAGGTGCCGTGATTGGGACACACACACACTCCATCGAAGCAGGTCGAGGGACAGGCGATTGAGAGGGATGGACGTGGAGAGGGCCGTGGAGAGACGTGTGGAGAGACGTGGAGAGGGGCATGGGACTGGAACGAGGTACCAGTTCTTCCATATGAGGAGTCCAGGGCCAGCAGGACGACGGGCCGGCTCTGGGCTGCTCCAGGAGATCTGTTCCTGGCATTCCATCTGCGGACCCTCAACGACGACATATACCACGGGGGTACATTAATTCTTCCAGCGGGCCCTTGCAGGATGCTGTAAATTCATAACGACCGTTGCCAAGACAGAGGGGACAAAAAATAGTCGAAGGGGGAGGAGGACGACGAGGACAGACGAGGGCAGACGAGGGCAAAGCAGCCGAATACGTGGTCGTGCCTGGCAATACTCGTTTAATTGGGTGTTTTCATTTTTATATCGATATGGAGTGACAAGGAGTGGGAGATAGTGTTGCCAAGGCAAGACTGTGGAGACATAAATACAAACGAGGGAGACGGACAATAAGAGAAACGGACGAAGTGGACGACATGGACCATGGGCGCAAATGGCCGTATGAGATTCTGGTTATGTTCCGGTTAGAAGAGTGTGCAGAGTAAATATGTCTTTGGGGGTAGCTTTGTGTTTTCTGTGGTCTGTTGATCTGTTGATCTCTTCTTCTCTTTTGTTCTTTCATTTTTTGTCTTCTTTCATAAAACAAATGAAAACAAAATCCCACATAAAGTACATTTTATGACGTATTATTTATGTCTCCAGATCATACTCCAGCTATTAATAAAACTATAAACAGTCACAAGCGCTCCACCAGTCCTTCTTACTCATTCTGCTCTGTGCCTTTGTTCACACGTATTATTCGAGCACCTGATATGGAACCTCGCAAATCTCATAGAATAAAACCGGCGCGCCTTTAATGGCTTTTTCACAGGCAGCATGTTTAGCCTGTACAAAGGACACAGTCGAAGACCAGTGCGGCAGAATGCGCCTTTTTCATCCAGTACAGCTGAACTGCTTCGTTTTGTTTCCTTCACTTATTTGTTTTACTTCTAATTTGTTTATTTTCGTTGCTTTCCTATATTCACATTTAATTCGCATATTCTTCCCTCGTTAGTCGTGCGGTGTCTCCTTTGTGCCTTCCCTGACCTTGACTGTCTCCCTCCTTCCCTATTTACCAGCCTGCCGTGGCTGTGGTTAGGCTCAACCGGCCCGGCTAAACAAGCCCCTGCCAGTTGCAACCGGCATGCGATAAAAATAATACGACGCAATTACGAAGCCGGCAAACGCGACCGTATGTCGACTCGCAGGAGACACTACCGGCAAAAAGAAGCGTTGGTAGCGGTGGCCGAAAAGGTGGAAGGCTTCTGGAAGTCCCGGTCCAAAAGGGGAAAGAGGAAACTCGACGGACAGGGAAGGCGCAATGAAATGCGAATGGGGTATAGTGAAGGAAAGGCAGGTGCGGTGCATAAGGGACGAACAGAGAAAGAGAGAAAAGTTGTTTTTTTTTTTTTTTTTTTTTTAAATTAAAGACCAAAACATAAACTTCAAACAACTCTATTTCTTTGGATGAACTGACGCTGCACATCTTACTACGAGCCGTTATTCATGTTTACTTCTATCCTCCCGTTGCTACGGCCTCAGCGAGCCTCAAAACGCAAGCCTTCTTGGCAATCTGCATGCCTCTCTTTCGACTGGGCGCCGAGTATCTCTCCACGTATCAAAGGAGACACAACTCGCAAAACACATGCAGTCTTGTCTAGAACTTGGCGAGACGGGGCCTCGCTTTACCTCTCGTTAATGATATCCGAATAGCCGTCTGCGTCACAGTGCCAACTAGAGCCTCATATACTTGGCGGTCTTGCGAAATTGACGGATGCCGAGTCGTCGTCTAGGCCCACCAGGGTGACGATCGATGATGATCTACTACGTACTGTAGCATCCGTTTGATTTATGGCCAGGTCCCTGCCTGGTTCGGCCTGTTGTCTTGTTGCTGGCCATATCAACCAGGTCCTTCGTGGCGTTGCATCGGCCTTGCAGTACGGAAGAAGTCTCCTACCCTCCCAATTCGGCAATGTCGGATCGTTTCAGGTATTCGGGAGACATTCCGAACGTTCTTGTGATGCAGACATGGCGTGGACGAGGATGGTACGTCGTATATGTTCTATGTGAACAAAGAGAACATCATATGGCCGTGGTAAAGCAATTGAAAACTAGAAAGACAGTTTCGCCCCATTTGATGAAAATAGAAATAAAAAAAAACAAAGAAATAAAACAAAACAGAATCAAATGAACATCAAGTCACGGCAGCCCTTACAACGGCCACCAGACGGCCGAAATGGCCAAATCGATCGACGTTTGTAAACCGCTTGTGTCTGTCCTTTATTCTTCCTGACACTCCTCTCGGCCTACTTTTCCGTCTCCTGTGGTAGTGTGTTTGGCGACGTCTCATTCTTCTCTCGCTAAAGACCGGACTCAACTCAACCACATTCGTGACTTTTGTAATCTTGGAACCTTACTCTCAAAACTGTGTGTACCACCTGCCCCGGACATATTCCAACATGCTCCAACATGTTCTTACATGAACGGCGGAAGCGAGAACGGGTAGCCTCCGTTCTTCATGCGGAACACGCTCAGCAGGAAGCTGTACATGAGGAAGATGACTGCGCCCCAAATGAGCGCCGCCACCTGCTGCATCTTCTCGTCGGCTATTCTCGGAACCTTGACGGCCAGGGAGATGGCGGCAAACGAAAGAATGCCATCTATATGTGTGTTAGACAGTCGCGACATTGTTTTCTTGGATGATTTTTTGGGGGGGGGGGGGGGAGGGGGACACGTACACATGGCAGCAATGAGCTGCGTCTCCATACCAAACTGGTTCTGGAAGCCCCCGGCAAAGTAGCTGATACCGCCGCGGCCATCACCCGCCACATAGGGAACCTTACGGATGTGGTTGAACATGTGGCCCGAGGTAAAGAGCAGGATCGAAATCAGGCTAATGGCCGCCCAAATGTTGCGGTTCTGGATCACCGGCAGCACGTACGGCCACGCCACAAACAGAGCGGTGGCCGAGCCCAGCAGCATCGTGATGCTCGTAAGCCACGCAAACCAGTTGATCGGCCGCTTGATCGCCGGGTGGGGGCGGTCGGGCAGGTGGCGGGAGATCCAGTGGTGAACCACCTCAGCGGAGCCGGCACTGTACACGTCAGTATTTTATTTTATTTTTTCTCATCTCATTCTCACCCTCGTCTCGACGTATCCGTTTGTCTCCACCTACCCGTTTGTAAAGTCGTAGCGCAGGGGCTCCGGAGAGGAGACGGCGTGCGGGCCAGCCGTGGGCGGGAAGAAGAGAAGGACGGGCGCCGTCTGCAGACCGAGCGACACAAAGGTATCGCGGCCGTCGCTGAAGTCGAGCGTCGTAAACACCAAGCGAGACTCGCCCGCCTTGTCGCCCTTGGTCCAACTACGGGCCAGCAGGTCATACTCGGGCTGGAACTCGTGGCACAGCTGGCAGCCGTAGCGTGCATCCATGGCCGTCAGCAGAACTGCCGTGCTGTAGTCACGCGGCGTGCCGCCCACGAGCTTCTGGTAGGCGGTGTCCTCGATCTTGACCGGAGCCGACGAGAGCTGCTTGGCGTGGAACTGCTGGAAGGTATCGCCGGCGGCCTTCTTGGCGGCGAGGCCGCCCGTGCACAGCAGCGAAGACGCGAGAAGCGAAAGCCAGCGCATCGTCGCGGTTAGAGGTGTGTTGAGATAGACAGGCAAAGGAAAAACGGAATCGAAAAGAAAGCGCGAATCGAACAAAAGGCCAAAGCCGTAGGCGGTCGAGTAAAGGAGAGGCAACCGAATGCAATTCGATTCAGAGCGCGTCCGTAACAAGCGCCCGGCAATTGATGTACGCCTCAATGGTGGGTCGTCGTCGTCGGATGAGGAGAGAGGGCTGCTGACGACAAAAAGAAAAGAAGGCCACTTGTCGATGCTCAATGGCTGTCGTGTCTCGAAACCCAAATGCGCAGCTGTTCTTTCCCAACTTGGTGCTTTCCCTGGAATCCGCCAACATGCTCCTTCCTGCAGCAAACGCGGCCCTGTAACCACGTACACCTTTAGCTGTCTGTAGCCTCTGATTGGCTGGGAAGCTGCCCCACGCTCCCTACAAGCTGTTTCTCGGCTGCGGACCATCTTAGCGCCGATCCGGTGTTCTTTCCCCTGCGTCATCCTTGGCAAGCGAACTGTGGCGTGTGGCACAAAGCTGACATAATACAAAACGCTAGCCCTTTTAGTCAGAAAGTAAACAGTCCCACACGACCAAAACATTGGCCCACCCTGAAGGCACGCCTGTCCACCTCTCCGCTCCTGCCTTGTCTCTCTCCATCTCTACTCCGTTGCTGTGGACGCAATTTGCCTCTTCAATATTTCGACGTCAGATCTCTTCTTATCGATCAGAGTTTGGTATTGAGTGTCATCTAGTCGAGCCATTGGGCATTTTTTATCGGGGGCTGTATTCTTTTTCCACCCTTCTTCATTTCCTTCTCTTTCGTGTCGACTGCTACCTTCATCGCGTTCTTTCACTACCTTTTCCGCGCCATCGACGCGAAACCGACATCGACAGCCATGGACATCGACAAGGTACGGTTACTTTCTCGGCTGGGACGTTTGGGACACGGTAGACGACGGAGATGCGCGAGAACGCGATAGCTGACTGTCTGCAGAGATCCGCGACGAGCCATGACCTCGGCCTCAAATATCTCGAAGCCCGGCACCAGGAGGGCCTCATAGTCAAAGACGACGACGTGCGGCGGCACCGGTTGCAGGTGATCTTGCTGCAGGACGAGAACGGCCGGCTGAAGGACCAGGTGTCGTCGCTTGGCGACCGTGTAGCCTCGCTCACTACTCAGTACGACGAAGCGCAGCGCCAGCTCGACAACCTCAATAACAAATGTCACGAGCAGGACGACCAATTGCGAGCACAGGCCCGCGAGCACACGGCGCTCCGGACAGAGCTGCTGTCCCTCAGCAACGCCACAAACGATTCGACAAAGGTTCTCACAGAAAAGCTGGCGTTGTCCCGCGAACTGGCCGTGCTCAAGCCCGAGATCGAGCACCTGCAGTCGCAGCTGGCACACCAAAAGGATGTGCTGTCCGAGAAGCTGGCGCTCGAGCGGCAGCTGAACGCGGTCGAGGTGGAACTCGCAAACGAGAAGCGCGCTGCGCAGCGCGCCGCCGCCGCCGCGGCACAACGCCAACAGACGGAAAGCGACAACAATGAAGCCGAGGAAGACTTGCGGCGGCAGATCCACGACCTGGAGAAGAAGCTCGCAAACGAGAAGCGGGTCCGGGAGAAGATGCAACGGGAGCAGGAGGAGGCCCGTAGCACCGACAAGGACAAGATAACCAAGGCTGTCGAAGACGAGAAGCGCGAGAGTCTGCGTACGAAGAAGGCTCTGGAGACGGAGCTGGCCGAGGCGCGCGGGCAGATTGATGTGTTTGAGCTGCGCGTCGGCGACCTCAAGTCCAAGTTACGAGAGGTGCGAGAGGAGCTCAAGAGCGCGCGTGCCGAACTGGCGGCTGCTCACGACAAACCAGCAGCACATATTGCAGCAGCGGCCACGGTCAAAGAGGGCATCAAGAAGACCAAGTCTGTGGCGACGGTGCCCGGCACGACAACGACCAAGGTGCAGACAAAGGGCCAGAAGAAGCGCCGGGCAGACGAGCCCAGCGGCCCCGAATCGCTGCTGCAGACGCCTGGCATCGGAGACGAAGGCCGCACGAAACGCCCGCTTAAGAAGAGGGGCTTCGACGCTACTGCCGTGCAAAAGTCGACCTTTTCCATCACGCCCTTCCTCAACAAGACGAGTAACCCGATGGACGAATCTGCCGATGCGGCCGCTGCCGGTGCTGCCCCAGCAGCAGCAGACAAACCAAAGGCGTCGGACGCCGAGACGTCTGCAGAGGACAAGTCCGCCGTCGACAAGTCAGTGTCTGCAGTCGAGTCCATGATGCCCGAGTCGACGCTTCCCGGCGAAGCGAGCGAGCTGCCGGAAGACTCCATCATGGGCCGGCGTGTGTCTGCGAGCGCCACGCTGTCTTCGGTCGACATTAGCGAGTCTTCTTCTGTTCCCCCGACGGTCAAGGCCGCAGCACAGAACGTCGCGGCCGGCGCCAAGCGGCGCGGCCGGCCACCCAAGGACAAGGTCTTGGGCGATGCGCCCCTCTCGAAGAAGAACATGAAGGTGCAGCCAACTGCAGCCGAGAGCAAACCTGTTGTTGCGGACGAGCCTGCGTTCACCAAAGCCCCCATCGAGGTCGACAAGGCAAAGGAAGCGGCTGCCGATGAGCCGGCTGCAGTCGAGCAGGAGAACCGACCACCGCCGGCAACAAGCGCAGCCGGCGGTGTCACAATGAAGGTGAAGAAGAGTGCCGCGCCCGTTGTGGCCAAAGTAACGTCCGAGGCGGAGCCCAAGAAGAAGAAGCGCAAGATTCTGGGTGCCGGTAGCAAGACGGTGTTTGATGACGACGACGACGACGATGGTGCGTTGGCACGGCCAATGAAGCCGGCAGCCTCGGCGGCGTCTGCGGCTGCTCCGGCAGGCGGTGCCGGTGTGAAGCGGGTTGTGAAGAATCTCGGCGCAGGACGGACCACAGCAGTAGGCGCCGGCAAGCGGACGATGCTGGGTGGCATGCGGAATGCGTTTGGTGGTGTTGGCGGCGGGAGCTTCTCACCGCTGAAGCGTGACCGTCGCGGCGTGAATGCTAGTTTCCTCGCGTAGACGCGTGGTCGATGTTTCGATCTTTTGATGTTTTGATGTTTTGGTGTTTCTGTGGAAAGGGAACATATACGGTACCATGATGGTTTGTTTTCATTGCATCGGGACGGCGCTTGGGACGGCTTTCTGTTATATTTCGTTGGGACAACCGGGTCGAGATGGATAAGCTTGTACGATGTAGGGATGAGGATGGGCAACAGTCTTCCATTATTGAATCGAAAGATGCAAGTTCATCGATGCGTCCAAATGATACAAAAGAAATGAAAATGTGACTACTAACGTTTGTATTAGGATATCCAAAGAAGCAAAGCAAGGACACAAATTAAAATAACGGAGCAAATGAAAACAGAAAAGCTAAAAAGAAGAGCAAGTGAACCATCTACTAAACCACACAATTACGCAAACTCCTTGACGTGACCGGTGGTCCAGGTCCAAAACGCCTCTGCACCTCCCTTGCCACCACACTCGGACTTGGGCTTGCCGTAGCTTGCAATGTCGCTGCGCATGCCAAAGAAGCGGCCCCAGGGCCCGATCCACGCGCCAGACTTGTCCAGCGTCACGTCGGGCGACAAGCCAGCAAACAGCTCCGTGTAGGCGCCGTAGACGGGCGGGTGCAGCATCTGGGTGCGGAAGTACTTCATGGCCGCACGCTGGTACCAACTGAGACCGACCTCTTGCTCCTGTTGCTGAGGCTTGTCCTCCTGGCGGCCCCCGATGGAGCGGTACAGGTCCGAGTCCAGGTTGCCCGGGTTGGCGGCCACGGAGACGATGCCGTCGGCCTTGTGGCGGCGCGCGTACTCGACGCTGTGCAGGTAGGAGCCGGCCTTGCTGTTGCCGTACAGCTCCATCGGGTCGGAGATGGGGCGGGCGTAGGTCTTGCTGCCCATGGGCAGGTTGGTCATGTCGACGCCGTTCTTGCCCGAGTACAGCTCGGCCGCCATGGACGCAACCCAGACAACGCGCACGCCCGCGGGGTTGCCGGCTGCCGTCTCGTCCTTGGCCGTGGCTTGGAGGATCGGCGTCAGGAGCTGCGTGAGCAAAAATGGCGCCACGGTGTTGGTGCCGAGCTGCAGATCAAACCCCTGGACGGTGGTCGTCGTTCCGCTGGGGGGGAGCATCACGCCGGCGTTGTTGAAGAGCACGTCCAGGCGCTTGGCCTTGGCGAGAAACGACTCTACGGCGGGCTTGATGGTGCGCAGGTCGCCGAGGTCGATCTGGACAAAGTGCAGAGCCCCCGTGGACGACGGCGCGGCAGCCTTGACGTCCTCCATGGCCTTTTCGCACTTTGCCTGCGAGCGGCAGGCCATGAAGACGGTGGCATTCTGGGTGTAGAGGATGCGGGTGAGCTCCTTGCCGACGCCGGCATTGGCGCCAGTAATCAAGTACACTTTCCCGGCGAGGTTTTTCAGATTTTTTTCAGTGAACTTGGGTGCCGGGATCATGACATTCTGCGCCATCATGGACGGCCGGAGGAATCCTATGGAAGCCATTTTGGCGATTGTGTGTCTCGTATTCGAGACGAAACGGGAGAGTGAACCGGTCGCAAGATTGCAAGTGCGTCAACTGTGTGGTCGATAGACTTTGACACTGTGGTTGTCGAGGTGTTTAAAAGGCCTTGTTGCGGTAAAGTTGTGGTGGTGATGATGCGATCCTCTTTCCCAGCTGTGCAAAGACATCCCCGACGGTGCTTTTATATCGAAGACCTCGCCCATGCGAAACAGTCTGCGATCTGCCTGGCCAAAAGAACAATAGGTTATGCACAGACTACCCAAACATAAAAGACCAATGGTTGACGTCAGGGCCGATTCGGCCAACAGACTCGCCGCGGACGCCATCGGCAGTAGTTGTACCTAGCCGACTCCGTTTGACAACTTGTTGTTTTGCACTACCTCGACAGGCTCTGCAAAAACACAGTGAATGGGGGTGGAAACACAGTGAAACGGGTCGACATCGAATAAGAACCAC